TGGCATGTACAGTTGCTAAGGTAGTACATATACACAATGTACATAGCACATGTTGAAAGTGGATTGAGTTTGTCCTAAATTTCTTAAAACTTTTATAATTCCTCTATATACAATATGTAACCCAAAAGGAATTTTAAGTAGTATTTCAAACCATAGATCAGCTGAAAACACCCATATATACCCAATATGTACACCAGTATTTTGGAAAAGCTCCATGAATCTATGATGACCTTATTTTTAATAATTGATAATTAAAATTACTTTTTACAGACTAAGTAAGCTTGATTCTTGGGGCTAATACTGTCATACTAATAACTATTTGAGATTAACAAATAGAGTAAAGATTATCATTCACCAAGTAACTTAATAGGGACTTACATTTGTACTGTATTTAATTAACTTTTTTTTTTTTGGCTCAAACTCTAGTCAAGGCGCCATATCAAAGAACCCTAATGTTTACAAGGATGTTAAAGTAAGTCTTAAGATGATATGGTGATAAAAAATATATATATGTTATTTTCCGGCTGGGAGGTCCATATGGTGAAAAACTGTGACCGAGGTCTTGAAAATACTGCCCGAGGCCGTAGGCCGAGGGCAGCATTTTCAAGACCGAGGTCACAGTTTTTCACCATACGGACCGACCCTTAGCCGGTAAATAACATATTTATTGTTTTTAAACTTGACGAAATTCTTTCCGAAAGAACCCGAATGATTTATGGCCGTAAATACGGCAAGATCTTCCATAAACTGAACAATTTTTGAGTGAGTAAATGGTAGTTAAAATAGAGGTGATGCAAATTTAAGAGAGATGCCTCAGCGAAACATTTTCATTTCCGTAACGATAAAGGCTTCCAAACAAACTTTGAAACATTATTTTTACAAGTATCTGTCACAATATGACACCTGTCAATTAGAGAGCGCGCAAGAAAAAAAAAAAGCGTAGGAACATTTGAAAACCAACAGAACTAGTTTGGCAAGGACTGTCACGACAATGTTTTCTTCAAAATCAGTTAATGATCTAACGGAAAGTATTATTCACTCTCATCGACGATTCATTTATGTACGAAGATTTACCTCTGTTCATTAAGTAAACGGCGAGGAAAGTAATTGTGAGTAAATTCAATTTTCTTATTTTGAAGTTGTGAGAGTTTGCTCGTTTGTTTGCTGTAATGGCGTGTTTAACTCTGATCTTTCCTTCACAAAAACTAAATTCGAACGGCAAACTCCAACGAGACACAAGGGAATGTAATGCGGCCTTTTCTCAAAAAATTCCTTCAATTTCTGTTGTGCAATTTAAGGTACAAATGTCTAAATTGAATGGAATTGGAAAGACTCACCAGGAGCGTATATTTGCTGTAGAACTTAAATTAAAACTTCGCTCGCTCTTTCACTATGAACAAATTGCTCGAGAAAATTCAGATATTAAGTGAATGAAAGTTCCATCGTTCAGTTTAACTGTAACCAAATACCTCAGGTTTCAACTTTCTGGGTACTTTTTGTGAACGATTAAAATTAATTGCAGACGGTTTTTAGGCCGCTTGTCAACCAACGCAATGACACTATTGTTTATACAAATTCATTCTGAATATTTGTTTGTCTCAAAAGGGCCCATTATTGATATCTGATCTGAGAGAGTGTTTGAAAAGAATGGAATTGTCAGATGAAGATCTAATTTACCTTGATGAACTTAAAAGATGCTTTGAAGCTGAAAACCTTTCAAAAGTGAATGAGAGCCAGATTCAAAAATTAGGTAAGTTATATTTTGCAATAGGTTTTGTACTGAATTGAGCCACACTGTAAGAATAACCAGATTCTTTGTCTTCTACAACTATCAAACCCCTCTTTTATTTAAAAAAAATATATCACTTCATAGGGCAATAAAGTACTTTATTCAGATATCAGTGATGATCTACATTCCTATTAATTAAATATTGATTTTTTGTCCTTCAGATCAGCTTATTGATAAATACCTGACAGAGGAAGGCAGTCAGGCACTACATCTCACTTTAAAACTTCTGCAGTTGTTATCACAGTGTGAAAAATTGTTTTCATCATCCAAAGGTGAGATGATTGACATAAAATTGATATTTTGTTAACTAAGAACATATTCCATCCCATTTTCTAGTACTTCTATGTTTTTACAATTAATTCTCTCTTTTATAATTAGCATATGATACAAGCATGCAAACATGCATTGTAAATTGTACGTGAATTGTTACAGTATCAGGCAAACCTGTGTCTCTGGGTTAATTTTTATGATATGAAGGGGGAGGACAATTTTTGAGTATTACTCTGTGCTGATTCCATAAATGTTATGTACTTGTTTTATCATAAAAAGGGCTACAGGAGACTGTAAAAAAGGCCTGTGGGAGTTTCCCAAGCATTCCATCTCTGTAACTCAAGTTAAGTGCATCAAATTGGTAAATGAAACATGCTATCGTAAATGATATTGTTCAGGTCTTGAATTAGATAACAGTCCAAGTCAGAAATTATCAAATTTTTTATGAATACCATAGTGTTAGCCAAAGTAATGTTTTGTTTTATTTTGCTACCTTGATGATACATTTTTTTTCTTTCATGGCAGTTTTGCAGTGCTATCAGCCATCAGTCTGGTCACTCCTCCTTGCTTGGTGACAGTCACCCCACACCTCTTCCTGCTGTGACAATCAATTGTCTCAGCAAAGATTTGGAACTCCAAACTGTCGGAGCTGCTTTGGTTTCCAATATCGCAAGACTAAAGGTACTTGTGTGTTCACTGTGTATTTTATATTTTTGCTTGTAATCAGCACTCCAAGTTGCAACCATTTTGGTCGCTAGATTTTCAGCAAAAGTAGTCAGCCAAATGGCAGCTTGAAAACCTTGGGTTTGGACAACTGGTGACATCTGTTTATGATCTTTGTATAGCTACCTGCTTCTCAGTGGTCTGTCTTTTCATTTTGTTGTTCATTTGTTTCATACATTTAATATGTGATTTTTTTAAACACTGAAACGGTTTCATGATTTTTCTCAATCGTGATTTATTCTTATTTATTATTTGTACTCACACATCAGATACACAAAGACATTGAGTGTTCTACAGCCATCATTGAACTTTTAAACAGAAATGTTTCTCCAGAGACAGGTAAGTTCAATGGAGGGGTTGGTTTTAAACATCGCATTTGCCACTGAACTTTGCATTCCTTAAATGTCTTGTTTTAGTCATTAGTTTATGACCAGTAGCTCGTCATCTGAAGACTCCAATGTTCGTGCATGCTTGTTGATTATTTAAAGTTTTCAAATATTTTAAATGCTCCAAACTCAAGTGATATGTCAAATTTCTTAACTCTGACATTTTCTTGACGGCACTGGTTTTAATTAAAAAATAGGAAATGTGTAGCAGCCTGAGGGGAGAATAAATAATCAGATCTTGGGAGCAAAAGGGTTCACCAAAATGTGACAGTTGACATTCGGGTTTCAAGGTGGGAGACAAGTGCTCTCAGCATTGTCCATTCACTGTACTCCTATGTGCATGTACATGTATCTGTGTAGAATAACTTTTTGCTTGTATATTCCACTGTAATCATTTTATTGTGCACATGTATATAACTTTTCCTGCATTCCCTCAGTGAGTCATACATTACCTGCCAGTGGAATTCATCTGCGTCCTACACTAGATTCCAGTGCTGGCCACAAGTCATTGAAGCATAATTCAAGTGCTGGACCAGATGCATTATACCATCCTCCTTCAGACTACATGGAGCTGGACAACAAAGCAGAAGTAAACAGCCTATCATCCATGAACACCCCTGGTCTGTCAGGTACAGTACGTGTACTGTGTAGTGGGCTGTTGCATAAAGTTGGCTGACTGAATTAAACAAAACCAGTGCCTTCTAAAATTCATGTATATTCATGTGGGTTGTGAAATTTAAGAGGTATCATGCTAAGTGTGTATGTGATAAATGCAACATTTCAAAGGACTCGAGTTGAAACTTCATGCGTCTGAGTCGTGATTAGTGTCTGTAGATCAGTTCTGTTCATTTTCCTGTTTGTTATTGATTTTTACAATGGCTGACCACAACTTCTGAAATTGCATGTTGTTGAAAATTGCAGGTATAACTTGAAGGATATAACTCACAATTTAAATTTAAAAGTTTTAATTCTGTAACATGGGACTGTTTTTATTTTATTTATTTTTTATGTGTATTTTTTTAAAGCTTCTTGTTTTGATTCACCTTAAAATTGACAATAACAGTGTGGGAAAGCATATGATTGGAATTAGAAATTGTGTACATTTAGCTTCAATACCTTGTTCACTTTCTGATTGTGAACTTCTAACAAAACAAAGGAGGAACAAAAACGGAAGTCATTTCGACAGCCAGTCACAACAAAGTCAGATATCGTAGGGAGCCTTCAAGAACTTTTGATTGGCTCTTCAATGTAGTTCCTTTTGCATCTGACTTGTGGTGCAATGCTGTTAGCCAATCACATAGCTGAATGAAGCTAAACCAATGGAAAGCAATCCTGGATTATTTTCAGCACTTGATTTGAAATCTTTTGTTCTGTAAGCTTGTTGTTTGTTTCTGGAAAACTAAATTATCAAAATACCAATCAAGGCTGATCGAAGCATCTTTACATTATTCTCCAGGTCCAATTGACAACAGTAGTGCTGCTGTGGAGGCCAGATCACCATTGATACCTCCTCCTCCTCCATCGTTTTCTGCGTTAGGAAAAAGTGAAAAGAAGAAGACCAAGAGGTAAGAGATCCAGTTTCTTTTTATCTTGGACAAAATTGCTTAGATAATTGGCATTCATAGGGCACTTGGTCTCTGGTTTAAACAATTATTAGTATCTTCATCTCCTCTCTCCCCTGTGAATGATGTTGCCTTTTTTGTAGTTTGGTCATTGATATATGTACATGTATTCTAGATCTTATGAAAATATTTCTTGAGAGGAAGATGGAAGAAAAGCTTTCTTACGAGATGTTGTGTGTTGTGGGGCTGGTTTTGTACAGGGTAGAAAATAAGAGAATGCTGCGAAGAACCTCCGAAATGCAGACTAGGGCCAGGGACAAATGCAGTCTACTTGTGACTTATTGTAACATGGTGCTCGAAAAAATTAAGTAATACTGCCAGAAATGTTCAGTTCTGTGATAGAACTTTAAAATTTACATGCCATTAAGTATTAATCAATATAATTATAGGTGGGTGAAATCCAGCAGAATTCTAACCCTGATGCTTGACAGGCTCTATTATGGGTTGGTCATATTTTGGTTTTTCTGTTTTGACTTGTGTTTTACTGAATTTTTACATTCTTGTCATTTTAGTCCTGGTAATGAGGTAGAACCAAACGGTCAGATATTAACAGAAGATTCTCCTGATGTGAGTCACTTGTAAATTACAGGAAAGAAGAATCACTGAGATGGAAGCTGTTAGCCTGGAAAGATGAATACACAGTGAAAGAATGACAAATTAAGCCCTCAATCAAATGCATTCTAGCATTTCCATTGCTTGCTAATTATTGCTTATTTTGATGGAAGATCTCAAATTATTGGTCACATGACTGAAATACTGTTTTGTAATAACAGAATAGTTGTGTGGATAGCTCAAAAATATTTAATTGAGGGAAGGTTTTTCAGGGCTGAAATAATCAGACTGATTTATTTGGTAAACAGAAAAATTATGCAGACATATGGAGGCTACTGAGCCTAATAACTGAGTTAACATTTCTGTTCTGAAAATCTAGCCATCAATTCTCTGCGCTCTCTGTTTTATAGTATATATTTTGTATGACTTAGCTCTGAGAGTTTGATGTTAACCCTTTAACCCCTAAGAGTGACCAGCATCTAATTTCTCCTTACAATATCACCACTGAATCACACATTCACATCATGAGAATACAGGAAATGATCACCAACTCTTGATTGTCAGACAAATTCTCCTTTTCGGCACCTTAGTAAATATACAGAGAACAGTAGGGAGAATATAAATACTGATGTTAGGGTGTAAAGGGTTAAATCAAGCAATATCCATTTGTTTATATTTTACTGCTCATCATCTTTTTGCTTAAAAATGTTTTGGTATTGTAAAGAGGATTTCCTTTTTGGTCACTCTTGAAAGAAATGGTTCAATTTGCAAAGAAGCAGTGTTTTCATTTGGCCTGAAAAATAATTATGACAAGCACTTGCTTAGCATCCTTTTAGTTCTTTCAAAAGTTTTAAGTGAACAGTTTGATGTACTTAAATTATGATCTCATATTTAATTTGTAGGTTTATTGATCATGTACAAATCTGTTAGCCTTATGGATGAAAATATTTTATGGAGATCTGATATATCATAGCTGAAAATGCCTAAATTATTTTTGTGAGCTGTAAATTGCGAAGAAAAGAATGAACAAATTGATGCTGAAGTTAGCGATAGAGGGTAACTGGACAAAACTTTATGAAACACATGCTATGATGTTCAATTGATTTCCAATGGAAATTATTGCAGATTGTATTTGATTGTATTTACAATAATCAATGCTACATAGTAAAAGTATGCACCATTTCTGTGGTTATATCAATGATTTTTATCTCCTATGTTATGGGAGTCAAAATGCAACCCACCCTCCCCTCTACTGGTTCAAACTTTACTCCCTTGTGAAGTTCAGGTGAATGAAGAAGACGAAATTTTCATGAGACTCCTTTCCTCTTTCCCATTGAGCTCTTTGTGTTCCCCATGCAAATTCAACGAATTAAACACCCACCCTGCCTCAGCGTTTCTGAAATTCTCTGTGGTCTTCATCAGCATAGACCAATGACGAGCGTCTCTTAGCCCACACGGACCAATGTCAGTATCTTAGCAACGGCGCACCTACCCCTCCCCTGGTCCATCAACAGTCAACTGATATCAAGTTAGGGTTAACCCTTTAAACCCTAAAAATGACCAGCATTTAATTTCTCCTAACAGTAATGATGCTGAATTGGTCATTAAGATCATGAGAATAAAGGACATGATCGCCAACCCAAGAAGCTTTGATTGCTAACGAAATTCTCCTTGTCAGTACCAAAGGAAACGTAGAGAGAAGAGTATGGGGAGTTTGGATACTGATGTTAGGGTGTAAAGGGTTAATATTGGGTTAAGTGAGGGGTAGGAGCAGAGCTGGTCTGATACTTACATTGATCCGCCCACATATTAATTTCTAGACGCGAGCCTCGGGAGTAAATTGTTGTCGAAGGTTTATGGGTGACTTGCTTAAATGAAAACAACCCACCGCATGGAATTCTATGCCCCGAAAGATGTTAAAAAAGAATAACAATGAACCTAAACGAGGCAAATCAGATCAGATCTTAATCATTTTTTGTTCGTATTCCACATTTTTTGTCCGTGAAGTTTATTAATTGAAATGAGATGCTTCAGCATAATTTGATGACAAACTTTAGAGACAAACGATCTGGAAAATGGTGAGAAATCATTGGAACCCACGATGCTCGTGGTTTAAAGCTGAAGATTATCGGGCAGTTCAGTAGATCTAAGAATAAGCCCCGGGAAGACTACGTCAAGAAACAACCCTTTCGAGGTCATGAGGAGCTTTGGCCCCGAAAAAATTCGCAGCATACATTCTACGGAGGCGCTATAATTCTGTCATCATTGTAGAGAATTACATTAACGCTTGCGGTCGGTAGGTGTCTATGCGGTTACTTAAACCTGTTGATTATGTTACGAAAACACAATAAATGTTGCATTGGAATCACATGGCGCGATCTCATCATGGAGGTCGCAGTCTTCGATCGATCGGCTGAGCTTTCTATGGTTGCGGGATCCAATCTAGACCTCAAAAAGTACTAGTATGTGCTAACGAAAAGTTAATGTAAAATTGCATACTTTTGCAAAGAACGGATTGTTTCTTCGATTCCGCGATGACTACAATACGTTGTCCCGCCACTAGGTCTTAAGCGCACAAACAAAGGCTGTTCGTTCAACGCCAGGTAACCAGACAACGTGTATGTTATATCTTCAATTGGTCTCTGTGCCGAACTAATTAGACAGGGAGAATTCCAGCAGATGGATTCGCGAGGTCTCAAAATATAATCCAGTTGTTGATGCGGTAAATCAAATCGCTCTCGACCGAAAAACTTTAGACGGGAAATGCCTCCACTCGAAAAATCATGGGAAATTGCAGAGATATCAGTCAAGAATAGCCAATAGACATTCGGGAACTAGTTAAGGATAATAATTATATAAGTTTACGGTGGATGCCTCAACTTTCAGTGAAAAGAAAGAGTCCAGTCAAAGAGCGGTCTCCTGATAAAAATTATTGTGAATTCAACTTGTCGTGCCCTCTTGGGTAGTGTATACCTGAAGGTTATTTTTAATATCTTCTATACCCTCTTGGGTAGTGTATACCTGGGGGTTATTTTTAATTTCTTCTATACCCTCTTGGGTTGTGTATACCTGAGGGTTATTTTTAATCTCTTCTATACCGTCTTGCGTAGTGTATACCTGAGGGTTACTTTAGTTACTGGCGTAAAATCTTACATATAAAGGCTACCGACTGGAAAAAATTACGCCGTTAGTTACTGGCGTAAAATCTTACATATACAGACTACCGACTGGAAGAAATTACGCTGTTAGTTACTGGCGTAAAATCGTACATATAAACACAACCGACTGGAAGAAATTACGCCGTTAGTTACTGGCTTCCATATATATAACACCGACTGACGTAAAATCTAACAGTATGGATTTATTACGGACTGGACCTGCTTCTAATCAGCTAATTGAATACCCATCGCGTGTAATTTTCGCTTTTCTTCGGAAGCAGCTATTGTCGTGAGCAATATGAAAGCTAGATTCAATGAGTGATTCATATCACTGCACAGGAAGTGTACAAACATTTGCATTTTGAGCGTTTATTTTCAGCTGTGGTAGAGCATTATTGTACATTACTGTCTGTCCGACTGGTTATCACATTATACAATTACTCAGATTTCTTCGAGAAGTTGAAATATTCTTTAAACCTCTACGGAAAGGTTGGATCGTTGTACATACGATTTCTACAACGCTATAATTTAGCTATGTGATTGTCAATTGCAAAAACAAGGTCTTATACAGACTGTTTTTCCGTTGCGACGCCTAAAATAATGAGGCTGATCAACAAAGACTTTTGACGACATTTGAACTGACTTGCTTTGGACAATTTTCTACTGATACAGCTTGCAAGACACCGACAAATGCGTCGATTTTTCATGACACCTCATCTATGACTTTGGACGTGATAAAGAAACGAATAGGAAATTTTCCTTCTGGGTGGGCATTAAATGAAGTCAAAAAACTTTGTAGGTTCGGCTTTTTCTGCTCCCGCTTCCTGCCGTCTCCAGCCCCCTGTTCTCCAGGGCGCTCGCCCCCCTTGTACCCCTCCACTAATGTAGAACAAATACTTTGGGGAGACCAAAAGATTTGATCCGGTAAATTGGCCGCACAAAAGCTGACAAGGGATAACGATTTACACCTTTACTACGGTGTAAAACTTCATACGTACATTAACGACAAAAGTGTTGAAGACGGGGGTCATTTATTAAGATAGTTCATTTCGTAACAAACAGGTTGGTTCCATGGTCCCCACGACAAAAGCTGTAATATCCAATCACAATCAGTTGTACTATACTTCGTGCGAGCACATCCAGAAACCCATGACTTAGTAACGGGTTCCCATTCTTTAGATTTTTGGACATGCGATAAGTTCAGTACAACCAATTATGCTGGGGGTATCATCCACAAACCAAGTGGACTCATTTTTGCAGAGATATACCTGTAAAGGTCTTACTTACCTTTGAAGCACTGACTTGTTAGACACCCGGACCTTCTTAAGTATGAAAGAGAGTATTCCATAAGGTGAGTTACATATTTTATAGCGAGCGTTGCTAATTGCATTGTTAGAACCTACTACTTAAGTGTAGTTTTTGGAGGTAGATTCACGTCACTATCCTCGATGACGTCTGCCAGGCTACGTGCCTCACACTATTTCCCAGGAGAGCGTAACGCCTGTATGGCAATTTCAGCCATTATATTATGTAATTCCAAAGGTGTGACTTCAAGTGTTGTACTTAGGTAGAGCAACTGTTCATTGGATGTTTTTAACGGTGTGGCTCGTCAGTTTTACTCAGCCAACAGACGGACATCTTTACTGTTCAAATCCTTAATCCAGTCTGACCACCCTTCAATGACTCTTCCATTGCTGTCAGTTCGATCGGCAAAATTAACCAAGTATCCTACATGTTTTCTGTAGGCCACCATTTGTCCTTTACACCATCCCCAGTACTTTTTAACGTCACCTGATTTGTCCCTCTCGTCATATTCCACTTCAATTAAACGGCTGATCAAGGCTCTTCCATTTGGTTTTCTTTTATTGCTTAATATATGCCTGCGCTTATCCGGACCTTCGTCACCACACTTGCCTTGACTTGTACACTTTCGTTTGGCCTTCTATTTGCCAGGTGATGATTTGCAGGACATTGCCACGTTCTCTTTGCAAGCTGCTGTTTTCACAGCGTGGAGGTGATCTTCCAGGTAAATGTTATCCATCAAAGCATGAAGTATAGTACCACCTTCCTGAAGTGACTGCCTGTTTAAAGAATCGACAGCATTGGTAGTACTAGGTCCCTGTTCCCAATCCTTGTCGTTCATTTCCTTAAAAGCTCAAAACATGGTCAGGTAATTTACACGGCACCACCATTTACCCCGATGCTTTAGCTTCGTCCAGTCTTTGTTGTGGATGGTGTCAAATTCCGAGAATAGCTTACCCTTGCGAAATGGATTTTGGAATTCCTTGGAATTCCTAGGAATAAAGGTGTGAGTTTTCACGGTAAATTAGGACTGGGAATTCCTAGGAATTTCTAGGAATTCCCAACCATAGCAACTCTGGCTCTAAAAATCTAGAAATTCCTAGAAATTCCCAGAAATTCCAAGTTTATGGCCAACAGGACTTGGAATTCCTAGGAATTCCAATTCAGAGCACCAATGACTTTCCCGGAAAAGCTGTAAATCTAAAAAATTCCTAGGAATTTGTAGGAATTTTCAGGAATTTCTGAGAATGTTTAAGAATTACTGGGAATTTTAAGCAAAAATTTGAGGCTACTTATATAAAATAAATACTTAAAATTAAAAAACCCCAGCTAAAGTTTTTGATTAATTATTAACATCAACATGTAGTAATATTAGGAAGGAATTGGATTTATTTTTCTTTTCTTAAAACTTAAAATGGATTAATCCTCAATTACAGCTATTCATATAAAATAGTCCTAATCAATCATTAAATTTGGTCTGACACAAATTGTGAATAAAATCTGTTGATTCTTTTCCATAAAATACAATATTGTATTTGAAAACCAAGCACTATTGAGAGTGAAGGGGTTAATTACAGTTAAATATAATTGATTTTTTAATTAAAATCTTGTTGTAACTGTAACAATAAATTAGAATGAAGTTATCCTAAACTGCAAACTTAGCTGCTGTTTGTCTTTTTTTCCCTGGGCTCACAATGAGTTGGCCTTGAATGAG